GCTGATGCCGATGGAGATGCCGATGGAGATGATGATGATGATGATGATGATGATGATGATGATGATAATGATAACGACGACAACGGATCAAGATATACATCTCTCTACCAGTTTTCTTGTTCTCCTCCATCTAGCAACTTCACATTTTAGCCTATCAATCTAAACTTCTCCCTTTAGGTCCTCAAGTCAGCCAGCAGCAAGATCAAACAAGACTCTTCCGTTGTCTTCCACATGGTCATCTCCAAGTTTGACAAGTGATTCCTCTTCTTAACTGCCGGGCAAGTCGCATCGTCGATCTCACGTGTACTTGTCGATCTCACGTGTACTTGTCGATCTCACGTGTACTTGTCGATCTCACGTGTACTTGTCGATCTCACGTGTACTTGTCGATCTCACGTGTACTTGTCGATCTCAAGTGTACTTGTCGATCTCACGTGTACTTGTTCGCATGTCGTGTTTACTCTCATCGTTCTTTACAATCGTATCTACATCAGCATCCTACTCTGATTCCTCCTCTCTAACCCTCCCCCTACTCCGCACCGACAACATTCCCATCCCTCCTTCTCCCATGCCGTCCTCGTCCTCGTCCTCGTCCTCGTCCTCGTCCTCGTCCTCGTCCTCGTCCTCGTCCTCGTCCTCGTCTTCGTCCTCGTCCTCGTCCTCGTCCTCGTCCTCGTCCTCGTCCTTGTCCTTGTCCTTGTCCTTGTCCTCGTCCTTGTCCTTGTCCTTGTCCTTGTCCTGGTCCTGGTCCTGGTCCTGGTCCTGGTCCTGGTCCTGGTCCTCGTCTCCCTCCTCCATCTCCCTCGTCCTTGTCGCCCTCCCCGAGCAGCTCGACTCGCTTCATCCTCCTCAACGTCTTTCGCGTTCATTTCGTCTGCACCTCAATCAGTTCCCGTCATCTTCAACTTCTCTGCATCACCAGGCATAGAACACCACGAAGTCCTCGAAGCAAATGCTTGATGTTACAGGACTGAAACAGCATGTTATCTCCATGAGCAGTCTTCTCCGTTACCTCCTCTACCTCCTCTGCTACTGCTGCTGGCCCGAGCCTCCTCTCGCTATCACCCTACGTAGCTGCTGTCTAGCTGACCTACTGGATCTACCTCGCCGGGAGGCTCCCCCCGCAGCCGCCTGCTCCAGGTCGTCC